TGATCATCATATATTAATTTTTACCAAATTTCGGGATAGAAATTAGGAAACGATAACTCATGATACACTTTTATTACAAAAATTTCTCTCCGTGTATGTCAACAAAATAGTATATTACGATACAAGTGAAAAAAAGTAGTTGTTGACGAGTGTGAGCGATACACGTCGAGCCGAAGATACGGTCTGTAATCACACTCACCAGGAAGTACATTTTTTCATATGTATCGTACGAAATTTTATGATTCTAATGAGGAAAAGGCGGTTTTTTGCTCGCGGAGCGGTCAAAAAGTGTCCTGTTTGCACTTTTTGTTGTTCAGCAGTGACAAAATAATATTAACAATGATATCATTAATATGATTAATATTGATATCGTATGTCACTGAATACAGAATTGTATGGTTGTAACTGAAACCCAATTACAATTTTAAAAAAATGTCATCACATATTTATTTTGGCATTTCATTAACCTTCGATGAGTGGTTGAAGGTTGGAGGCTTAGAAGTTTCATATATTCCTCAAGTTATACCTTCATCTATTTATTATTTAATTATCTTCATAACAAATGCTTTCAGGAGACATCAAAAAATGGTTTGCAGAAAATTCTACAATGCACCGAAATAATGAACAATCAACAATGGTTAAAATTATAAAAGTATAATTTTTTTAATGTAGTCATATTTCCTTTGGTTAATAGTAAATATTCCACAAAAAATGTCTTCTCTCTGGTCTGTATATTCATCTGTAAATCTTCCTTGTAAAAAATGAGGAAAAAGCAGACTATCAAAAATCAATTTATAGAATTACAAAAAAAAATGTATAAAATATTATCAACTCGCTGTGGGTATTTTCATATCTCGTTGAATAGTGCAGGATTGTCCCGAGAGTAGATATCTCTCGTACTCCTCTCGATATCACCAACTGGCATTTTAATCGTCGGAATGGAAATTCCCTGCATCGATGAATAACAGTATTCAGCCATTAATTTGTCCGAAGGTGGTCGTTATCCACGTGTTTTGTTTTTTATTTTACAGAACTCGGTATCACGACTGCAATAAAATTAGAACAATTCCCGGGAATTCGTGTTCCAATATTTTTCGTGATAAATAACAAAGGGAAGATAATAACGAGCTATAAAAATATCTGTTATTACATATGGGGTCGTGTCGTATCGCTGGAGTGTTATTCACGGACTCATATTAACGATCGAATGAGTTGATGGGCTCGTAATTACTGGAATTTCTGGCATTTTTTTCGGACGAGAGAGGCAAGGACACTTATATCAGCCGCACTGGAAAAAGCGGTGTTGGATCTAATGTGACGGGAGGAGATGGGGGAGCCATAATAGTTATCATCTGAGGAATCAGTGCATGTGGGTATGTATGCTACGGTATGAAAAAAGAACCTATTGAAGTGGTATGACGGAGTGAGAAGGCGTTGTATCGCCAGATATTTAGAATAAGAATTCATTATCGACTAAATATTAGAGACGATAAGATTTTGAAGAATATTGCATTGGAAAGAAAGGTTGTTGTCGGGGTATGCTCGAGTGAAGTATGAAATGAAAAGTATTTATGTTGAGTGACAGTTTTATTACGATCGTGTTCGGGTTTAGAGAGTTTCTTGGGTGAATGAGGGTGGCCTGTGTGACGAACAGTGAGGTCACTTTTTGAAACAAAGGGTGTATTGGTTGAGAATGAGTGCGAGTGAGAGAGAGTATTTTTGACATAAAGAAAAAACAGAGTGTTTGCCCGTATGAGAGAACGAAGAGTAAGTCAGTTGTGATCGGACGAATGTCACGTGAAGATGTAGAGCAACTTAGCTCATAGGACGATGCATTTTTATTGACTCTATTTGAACTCAAATATACGTTCGTTTATTCCATTAAATAAACATCCTGTGCCCTCAGGATTATGACGCTACATATCAACTGAGGATTCAAGAATTTTTGTGATCAAAAAGGTGTTTTTCCTTGGAATAATGTTTAAGGTTTTACGGCCTTCTGATTGTGCAATGATACTATGTTTGAATTCGTTTGACTTGTATTTCAAGATATTATGAAAACGTCTTGTCTATCAAATGTCTTATTTTTAGTTTGAAAAAGTGTTCTATTTTAAGACATTCGGACTTTCAGTCGTTAGAAAGTTAGTTGATATGGAAATTTTTCCGAAATTTCATCTCCATCCAGTGCAGATGGAAATATCATGATAATCGAAGTTGTCAAACATCGTTCCAATTTCCGGCGCGCGTCAAAAAAATTCGCTTCGCGAGTATAAACAGCCCGAGCCCATCGATGCGTATAGATTATCAGGAACTCAACAGTAGTATCAACACCGAAAATGGATATTTTCTGATTGATGACAATTTTCGAGGATTCTCATAAATATTCAATGTTCGATAATGTAGGCATTCTAGCTAGTGGATTCCTCTCCTCTTTTCTCAGATGTTCGTATTCTTACTTGGAATACAAACTCACGATTTGACTAAACCACATTTGAATAATTCGATATTCCGAGGCTGGGGTTAAACCAACGATGGGATAGACTCTCAGGACACGTCGTATATATGGTGACTTATTCATTGGGGCTTTTATATAATTTTCATGAGGGCCAGGGCGGTTGGGGATATTGTAGGCGATATGTTTGGGTAAAGTGTGTAGTGAGGGGAGGGAAAATGTTTCCATGTGGAGCAAAATTTGTACACGAAGAGAAAAGTTGGAGAAAAACTACCGAAATAAATCGTACCCAATTTTGCTGTGCGAAAGGTAATTGTAAAGCGAAATGTAATTTAAATGGACACATATCTGTATGTGGAGGATACTTTACACAAAACCGATTCGGTTGGTATAAAAAAACACATCTATGGATGCAAAAAATATCCTCCTGTACAGTAAAAACAAGTAGGTGACAGCACGTATGCGACTGTAGATGTGTTACTAAGTCATATGTGAATCTCATTTTTTTACCATCAATAAATTGATGGTAAGCTTCCGAATGATTTGGGCAAGATATTTTTTTTAGTAGAAAACTGTACCAAATTTTGAGTCAATATCTTGTTTTTTTCAAGAGTTAAAACTCGTACAGGCATTTTGAATGAATGCAATGCTTTCATTCTGAAGAAAAAAACGAACGGAAATTGAAAATAAATCTGTAATTATAGTATACTTACTAAATGAAGTACAAAAATTCATACAAAATTGAACATCTCAGAAACTTATCGGTAGCCCAGGTTCAATACCAAACATTACAATGATAAGAGGTAATTCCGTGCCAAATTTCAAGTTGATATCTCGATGTTTGCGAGAGTGAGAGAGCGTATAAGGATTTTAAACAAAAAACGGAAAAATAGAAATATCAGAGAGGTAGTCCAATTCAATATCAAATATCTGACAAAATTTCAAATTTTTTGGAACCGTTTTAGCCGTTTATTCATTTAATTTACGAAAAAGTGACCACCCGATGACCATTTACACACACACACACACACACACACGGGGTGCTCAAACTTCGTTGTTTTTTTCGTTTCAGACCACTCTACATCATTTCCAAGCAAAATTAGAAAAAGTAAAAATTGAATGATTGCAGGGCTTCGATTCGGAAGCAAAAAGTAAATGTCCACACCAGTATTTTTCTCTTGCACCGTTTAAAATTAAGTTACAATCTTATTCTCAACACAATGCCTCCTAAACAAGATGAATTTAATAAAATCAGTAACATGTTCTTGGGAACTAGAAACATTTTGTCTCAGCGTTAATGAGTGATATACAGAGTTTTCGAAATAATCTGGTGTTCCATAATACGCATAAACCTTGGAATAAACATCTGAGATTCTGGTTATTAATTAGTATTATTGAGTCACATATGTGTATAAAATTTTGTGTCGATCAATGCAATACATCCTGCTATAGAGGAATTCATCCAAAAATCTTTTTTAACTTCCCGACCCGAAGAGAAGAAGTTATTGTAATGACCCCGAAAATCGAATGTGGAAATTTAAGCATTTCTCCACGTTTCATGACCTTTGGAACCACTTCTGACCCTTTTCAGGTACCTGTCTATATGTGTGGATGTGTGTATGTGTGTGCGTACGTCTGTGACAAAAATTTTTTTTTAAGTCATACGTGTCATTTCATCGAATATTATCACCTCTGGGGGCTTATTTCGTTTATGGATTGCACACGATTCTCGTGCAGGCGATCTGTGATTGGAGGCGCATTCATAAACCAATCCGTTTTCACACAACTCCAGAATAAGCCCCTAGAATGACTTACAAAGTCATATAATAAAAATTGATGTTCATGTCTATTTTATATTATGTAATATTTGATGAAATAACGATAAAAACGGGAATCAGCCTGGAAAACGAAAATATGGGAAACATTTTTCCGGAGGACAAGTTTATAAGAACGATTTTCCATGATCGATTTTCAGGGGAATATTTATCCTAGAACCATTGCTACGGATCCATTCGGAAGCTTATTACACTGAGAGAAAAATATAATTCTTCTGACTGTATTCCATCACCATCGAATTATAGTCAAAAAGTCCTCAACAATTTTTCATGGGTTACGGTAACTATGGCCGGAGAAGTAATTACTACAATGGAATGTAGTCATTGCAACTACTTCTCCTCACGATAGATTTGTCATGGTTACTTTTGAACTTTGGTTACTTTAACTGCATTTTGATTTGCAAAAATTACGCTTGTGAAGTTACTATAATGTTATGTGCCGCATACAAAAAAAAATCGTATCGTTCACCAAAATGCCTCAACTATTTTCTTATTGTAAATCGAACTTCAGATTTTTCTCTCAGTGTACCAACGGAATTGGTAGAGAAAGAAAAAAGACTAATAACGCATAAAGTAACGGTCACATGGCTTCTGTCAAATAGAGTCACAACCCTGCTTGTTTTCTCAACGTATTGATGAACAAAAAAGTTTGTAAATCGACACTTTTCACGAATTCCCATTGTTTTTCTAGTTGCATCATAACGCGCACTCACCAACATGAAAGCCGATGAGATGACGTAACTCAGGATCAACTCCGAGTCGTGCTCGTCTGGTTGTTTCCTCAAATCCCAGGTGCTTCAGAAATTCATCCTGTAACTCCAGCGGTCGCTCATCCAGCGACATTCGTCGTCCCGCTTCACCCCCGTACTGGAAAAAGCATAATTAATCGTGAGTACAGGCACTGCCATTTATCTCTAAACAAACCATTTGAACAAGCACGTTTCTCTAATTATTGAAATATCCCAGTTACGAGTAATCCTGCTGCAATATATCGGAACATCTTTTTTGTAGAGAATTTCCGAAGCTTCCCTTTTTTCGGATGTCCATTATCCAGATAATTCTATAATTCTAGGCCAGCATAACTATTTAACTAGGCGAAAGCGGGGCAAAATGAAGAACCAAAAAAAAGTATTTTTTTACTTTTGGTTGAAGAGCAAGTAGATTCTTATCGAGGTATGCTAGTTGAGGGTCAAATCAAAGTATTTTTTACTATGGGAACATAGTAATTTTTAATATGAGAAATTAGACGCAGGACTATTCTGACCAGACATTAAAATTTACTTTTTAACATAGCAATATTGCGGACAAATGAAAAATTACGACGCGGCAGATGAAAAAATACTGGTGATAGAATTAGAATGATGGAGTCCATAAAAAAAATTACTGTGGAACATAGTAAAAACTGCGAGTCAGTATAGTAGAAAGTGATCGCTCAGAAGGTAAAATTTCATTTCTCACTAATAAGATTTATGAGCATAAACATAATTTTATACTTTCGTAAAAAAAATTCTCCCTTCCCCTCTTTCAACAGGAATATTCGTGGAGGAGGAGAAGGGAGAGCATTTTTTTTCAAGCACCGCACAGAGAAAAAAAATTGATCAACTTTAGATAAAAGGTGCTAGATGTTAGAAACTTCATAATAATTGCCTATGGAAACGGGAGGATTTTCATTTTTTGCCAGTCGTGTCTGCAGGATTTTTCTTTAATCGGCACATTTACTTAGGCGTCCCGGTCACTTACTCACCACCCGGTCGATTATGTTGTCGACAGAGGAAGGGGATTCCCACAAATGGCAACGATCGACGATCCAAATGCTCGCTGCAGTTGTTACTAGTCAACATAGTAATTTCTGCAGTTTCGTCGAGTGAAATGTAGAAGGCGCGTGAGTATGGATCAAAATTTTGAAACGTAAAAAAATTACGATGTAACAGTAAAAATTCATACGATTTGAGTCATGTTTCGTTGATTCAATAGAAAAAATGCCTTCGAAGAAAAGCGTAAGATGGTTTAAATATCATCTTTTAATGCACGGATTTTACACTGTTTCTTTTATTCCAAAATTTCTATGTTAAATAGTAAAAAAGAAATTTCACATCGCAAAAATTCGCTTAAAATAGATCAAATTTTACAGTTTTTGCGGTATGGTCCTGGATTACTATGTTCTCATAGTAATTTTTCATTTTATATTCTCTCCATGTATCAGGCTTATTCAATTCGGAAGCAAAAGTATTAAAATTGATTTCATTACAAATTTATTATAAAATTTTCATAACTGAGAAAGGTATGATCCTGAACCACAGAATGAAGTACTAATTTTCCACGTTCTTTCCCTCAACATGAATTTTACGTTCAAAACTCTCAGCACCTTCTTGAATCATAAATTAAAGTCGAATTGGAAATGACCGAGTTCAGCTTGAATTCCAGGGGTGCAAACTTCCCTTCAGGTTTTCCACTGAAGCGCTCGTTATCCCCACCGAGTTTGGTCGCATGGAGAGTTTCAGGTCCATACATTCTTGGATATATCTATATCCTCGCATGTATACGTACCCTAACAAATCGATTGGGTTTTCTGGGCTTTCGCAGGAGGGAGGAAATTTCGCTTCACTGGATTATCGTCGCTATCTAAATCATATAGTATTTTCAAACTGCTGAGGATGAGATAACTACCATCATTTTGGATTCGGGGATTTAATCGGGTGAATCTTCAATTAGTGTTCTGGTGTCGATAAATTATGAGGATTAATTTCAAATGTCATTATTGCAAATATTGTTAAAATGATAATGATATTACGTATAAAAAAATTCTTGAATCGCACGCCACGTTGGTTGACTTGGAATTTTTATTAGCACGTTTTTATCATTTTATTCTCATAATTTCAATTTTTTCGTCGGTTTTCCTTTATTGTATTCAGAACCTTTATGGATTCAGTGCTTGGCACTTCTCTGATTTCACCACTTTTTGGAAACAGAACGCTCGGACTCGTTCTTGGCAAAAATTTGGCAAAAATTTATTTCTTTTTCTGGAGAGATTTCAAACATTTTTGTAATGACATATCTTTAATCCTGCAGTTTATTATATATCGAGTAACGCTCGTCCTGAGCGAGTGTTCTTTTGCTCTTTTTTTTTCATCATGCTGTGATGAAAAGTGAACTTTTCGGCACGCTCCGCGTGCCTAAAAGTCCAATTTCCGCCACATTGTGATGAAAAATATTGTTCGTAACTCATGAAAAAAGATTTTTTGGCGAGTGGGAGGTTTATATCACGAGCCGAAGGCGAGTGATATAATCCCACGAGCTATTAATTAATAGCACTCGCTATTAATAATAGAGCTATTAATAATTGAGCTATTAATAATTATTAATTATAGCTCTATTAGCTCTATTATTAATAATTAATAGAGCTATTAATAATTGCACTCGTTACGAAATATACTATTTCGGGGTGATTCACTCGCTCTGTTCAACACATATTTTTCCTAAGTAATGGGGGAACCTGATGCAAAGTGAAACGTTTGTCATCGAGTCGAAATCCCAACATCTTTGTTTGTAAACAAGGATATCAAGCGAGAAACCAAGAATTAAAAATCATAACAAAAGTTCCACTTGACTCCGTTTGAATAGTATTAAAGTCACGGGTATTCAAGCATCGGTAAACGGCGCGTATATAATCCACCAATCACTTTTGAATATCGGCGTGACGTCAGACAACACAGCCAACTCCCTACACTCATCCGAAGTCAGCAGCAGTGGTACCAACTTTCCCACTATAATCTCGGTTTAGAGGGCTTAGAGAAATGGATCGACGAAAATCCCGACACCTGACTCATGAAAAAATTATTTCCTCAGTCAACTATTGAGTATAAAATTTGAAAAAATTACAATAGAGCCTCCAATGATAGATGAAACCATTTATGAAATCTAAAATGTCCTGGGATGGGATAAACAATGTAAAAAAAATAATTACAGATATTTGGGTGGTGGAGGGGGAAGTTGACTCGGGTATAATAGGGCGACATTTTTCATAGAAAAACCTAGTGAATCCGCGAGACAATTTCATTGAATTTCTATTGAACTTTCTACTAGTTTTTGGCCGATTATATTGAAATATTCCCATAATAATACAAAAAAATTCAATTAAAAAGTTTGATATCAACTCCACTTTTTTCACGGAGAAAAAAAGCTAAACAAAAATCTCAGCGTTGTGGATAAAATGCACAAAGAAATTCCCATAGTCGAAGAAACTTGGTCCGTCCAATTATAAAAGTGATCGCCAAGTTGTCGAGAGAGTCGAGGGGTTTATAAGTCAATAAAATGCAAAAATAAGAAGAGAATGAAATGGAGTGATGCAGGAGGGAAATACTTCCGGCTCATCTGAACTTTTCGTAAAGCAGTGAGCATTCTTCGGGTATGGAGTTGACTGGTGCATTTGGACTTCTCGAGATTTCTGAGTAATTAACGAAACTCATTATGAGGTGCCATGGAGCGTTGGATGGTGACACTTACCAAAGGGAATTGGATACGTTGGTTTTGCTCTCTCACCTGGTGGAGTCCAGGGACCTTCTGTGAGACACCTTGGATTTGTCAAGCGTGTCACAGACTCACTGGTACGTTTAATTGCTTGGGTATCTCGAATTCGATGAAGGGATATACCAATTATTCAAATGATAAGGGAAACATTGATGATTATTATATATTCCATTGAAGGAATTGGTTAAACATTTTTTTGGTAGTGATATGACTAATTCAGGATTTGTGTGGTATGAATTTAATTAGAGAGAGGATGAAGGAATTTATATAATTATGAGTATATGTGAAGATTGTTTCGTTTCAGAACGAAATACCTAAAAAAACAAAAACAAATGTTTTTGTAAAAAATAGCTTCGGCGTAGATCAGAAAAAGAAGGATTAGATTGATACTTGAAAAACTCCGCCCCAAGGACGTTGGTCCTCCTACTAATTTTTTATTTTATGAAGACTTTTTTTTAAAATCCTTATGTGATTTGAAACTATTTTTCTCATACAAATCTGATTGTGTACTATGTTTGTTCATTCGATACTGCTGACTTGACTGTCTTTTTCATTTCTTTGTATTTTTCAATAATTTCTACTTCCAAGTAAGAACCAAACAAAACTTTTTCTTGGCGCAGTTTTTTTTACAAAAACATTTGTTTTTGTATTTTTAGGAAGATTTCATTATTTTTTTCACAATAACCAAGGAATCGTTTTTATATCCTGTAAATGTTTTATTTTCAATTCAATTCGGCTCATTTATTTTTTACACGATACATCATCGTTTCAATTAACAATCGAAGCGAAACAAATAGTTCTACTCCACAGCCATTATTTCCATCGACTTTTAATTACTTATTCAAAATTTCCGACTTAATTTGCTTCTTCGAAAATTCATTTATCCACGGAACTCAATTGAAAAATATCTGTGGAATTTATCATTCATGCACCAAATTCAATTTGTAAATTCTTGGGCTCCCTCCTTGGTACGTGTGGTTGTATTGCACTGCTACCAACTCCGTAACAAAAAAATGATAGGAGATAATGTGAAATGGGAGAATGTGCATATGAACCCGTTGCTATGCGCGTTTTTTTAGAATTATTGCTCCGAACAAAAAAATAGTTACATCAATGCGAAGCTTGTGGCCGATTTATCTAATGTAACTAAGAGTATTTTTCATGTAGTCCGTCACGTTTGTATTTTATTTAATGGATATAATTCGGGAGTAGTGAAGGGGACAGTGGCTTCGTGTATAGATGCACAGCGATCGGCCTGATGTTTTGTACAGTCGGAGTCAGAACTTTTCTTTGGCCGATACGCTACCGCGTATCTCGATTTGATTAAATTACAATAGGGA